TAAACACATCGGTCCAGATGGAAAAGAGGTAATTCTACAAATTGACGCTTTTGCCCATGCTGTTTTTGGTAAACTTAGGTTTTCCCATTCATTTTGTAGGTGAGTAAAGTCGTTCCTGCCCTTTCAGAGGATGTGAAAGATGCTTTGGTTAGAAACATCAGAAGACGAATGACCCCGCAACCGTTGAAAATCCGTGCTGATATTGAAATGAAATGTTTCCAATTTGATGGCGTCCTCCACATCAAGGTGTCATAATCTTGGAATTGGTGTTTTTTCAATTAAAGAAAATACTAGCAACATACTTTACACTCTTTTTAATCCATAATATTTATATAAAGAATGCAAAAAATTGAAGAGTTGTTTTTGTGGTAACAGGAAGCCATGAGACAAGCTGAAGCAGTTGGCACTAAAGAGTGTCCAGTGAAAATAAAATTGGTTGCTCCACCAGCTTATGTTCTTAATACACAGACTCTTGACAAGGTTAATAACAGAACACAAAAGATAAACACTTAAATGGCTCTATGGTGATTATAATTTTGGTTATGTGTCTTTATTATCTTATAAATTATTATGTCAGGAACAAGGGATAAAGATTCTTACAGAAGCGATTGCTGCTTGTGGTGCTGCAATAGAGCGCCATAAAGGGAAACTTACCATAAAAGAGTCACCTCGGGCAGTAAGCATTATTTTTAATCTTATTATTATTTTTTTTACCCTTGTCGTTAATTATATTAATTTAAAAGTTAAAATGATATGAATTGATTTAATTTAATTTTGGTTTAGGTGAGTGAAAGGGAGGACAAATTGCTGGCAGAACAGATGGCTAAACTTGGGCGAGATAATGCAGAGATTAGTGGTGATGAAGACAGTGAGGTGGAAGAAGATACGGGTATGGGTTCTGTTGATTTGGAGAGCACAAGTTCTGGGATTACAACAGAGTCAGTGATATAACACAGATTCTAGCATAAATCTGTTAAATTTTGCATTTTGTTTTTGTGTATTTTTTGGCCGATTTACTTGCTTGCTTAATTTCAAAGGGTATGGCTTTCTTGCTTGTATAAACCGAGTTTTTTTTTTCTATTGCTAGACTTGTTGTCGAATGTCGTGTATTTATAGCATCGTTGATATGATATGTGCTTTCTTTCTTTGATTTTGCTACCAAAAAACAAGTAAAAACGAAGTTAAAACCACATAAAATGAAATTTTTGTCTCAACATAAACTATCATACAAAATATGAAAATTCATTCCTTTCAGCCTTACTAATTTCAAACTAAATTTAAAAATAATATTTCATTAAATAAAACTTAAACTACTACAAACGGTAAATAAAATGAGAACAACAATTAAAATTCAAAAACAATAATAAAAATCTTATTTCATATTATATTGGTCATTATACTTGATTTTTGTTGAATTTAAAATAACGACATCAGGAAATTCTGGCGTATGGGTATTTATCTTTTGGTTGAAGATGTATTTGATATGTTAACTTTTGTGTGAATATCATTACATTTGGAGTTAACTTGATGTGTTTGAGCAAACCCAACCCACAAGTTGCAGTTTAAAATGTTCGAGATCTTGCTCCAAAAGAACATCCGTTTTTTTTGTTGATATTCAGTCATTATCTTCCAAAATATCAATGCAAGCTTTAACTAATGTCACGTCTTCATGTTCAGACCATTTCCTGCATTTTTTGACGTTTTGTTGATTTGTCGCTTAATTCTTTGATTTGGATTTGAGTGATGGGAGAGGAGTCGAATCCATTTGAAATGGAAATTAGAGAAAGTGAGAATGGAATTGGAGAGATTTGGAATGGATTGGAGAAATTTGGAATGTAATTGGAAAGAATTTGTGGTTTTTGGAAGTGGCCAAGGGTGATATTATATAGTAGGTGGTTTTTTTTTTTTTTTTTTTTGGGAAAAATAGTCGTTGGTCAAACAATCAAATAGGGGGGTGGGGGTGGGGGACTGCAACGGGTTGGATAACTAGTGATTCATGCATTTTGGTGATACCTTCTTTGTGTGGAGCTGGTTGAATAACTCATGATTTAGGCATATTAGAATTGAATTCGTAGCCAAAAAGCCTCGACTCCGTCCACCCTAAAGAATGACTACTTCAAGTAAAAATAAGATTTTTTTTTCGTAATCTATTTTGAATGAAAACATTTGTTATTAATATATTATAAAATGAAATAAAAAAATCGGAATAATTTTTTTTGTATTTTTCTAAAATTTACTAGTGTTGAGGAATAAAATTAATAAATTGTATAGCCCCAAAAATATCAACCCAACCCTACTTGTGCTAACTCTTCAAAACCTTTAAGGCATCTTTCTTTTATCAGCAGTAAACTTGTAAACTCTTTTAATGTAATATGAGGTTGTAACTTATTGGTGTTGATAATTCTTGCTAGTCTGCCATATAATAAATGAAAATGAGAATAATATATGTTGGATGGTAGTAGCTATGATTCGGATAATAGTTACCGACGAGTTAGGATTATTGTTTCCATGTCTTTATTGTGGAATTTAAATTCTTAGGCACTAGGAAGTAAAATGAATGGATTAGACATATATTATTCGTTGTTTCAAAATAAAAACCACATATTAAAAAATAAAGCTAATATCATAAAAAACCTCATATATTGAGTTTTTATAGGATTAAACCTTAACTTTATTTTTTTTCTGAAAATACCTTGTGATTTTTCATATTTTCCAAAAATCCCTCAACTTTTATTTTTCTCCGAAAAAACCCTCAACCTCTTGACTTTTCGAAAAAGAAAACTACTAAAAAGGTCAAACCGAAAAAATGGAAAATGAAGTCTTTTTCAAGAAAAAAAAAGTTATGTTTATTCTTGGAAAAACACAAAATATAAGATCTTTTATGATATCCACCCTTAAATATTTTAAGAGATTTTAGTTGGGATAATGACTTAAAAGGGTAATATATTTTTTGATTTGTATACATTTGGTCATTGATTTTTTTTTTCATATTTAACCATTTAATTTTTTTTTTGTCCACATTCAGTCCTTATAACCAGCTACTCCAAGTTAAGTCAAAAAAATGACTTAATAAAGTAATATATTTTTCATTTTGTACACATTAGTCATTAATGTTTTTGTACACATTTAGTTCCTATGACCGATTTTTTTTTCCAGCTTTTGCCCACGACATCTTAAATAGGACAATCATTAATGAGGTGTTCTAATACGTGACTCGTCCTTCACTTATATCAGTAACCTAATTCACAAACGGGTCAAATAATATTGGTGCCCTAGTTTTCTCCAAGCAAAAGATGTATTCGTCTTCGGTTTCGTCTATCTTTTATAGCATACAACGAGGGTGACCATGGAAGTGCCGAAAAGGCTGAAGTTGAATGGTGGAGAAGAATGTGATGAAGTTGTGAAAGCGGAGAACGTGAGGACGAGGAGAAGATGAAGAATTTGGAGCTTACTTATTTAACAGAAAATTACATAAATGAACCCTATATAGCATATAGAAAACAAATTATAAAACATTTCCTGTAATTTACAAAAAGGTCCCTTTGTAGAGATATTTTTACTGAAATAGTATTTTAAAGAATTACACAAATATAGTTGCCTAATAGCAAATTATGTTGCTATGTTGGGTACAATTACAAAAATGGTCTATGTGTTTCACTTAGATAAATATCAGTTACTTTTCACAAAGTTACGAAAATAATCTTATGCCTATAAGCAAAATTGTAAAAATAGTCCGTAGGTTTCACAAAATTACAGAAATGATCACACTCTCTAATAACAAATTTACCGAAATAATCCTTGTGTAAGAGAACATTAGAAAAATTATATCGAAGTTCGAAAATATAAAACCCGGCGGGCCATCCCACTAGTTGTATTTAAAAAAAATCCATTTTCTCAAATCATGATTTTGAAAAGAAAAAAAAAATCTGTTTACGAAACTGATGAATGAATTTTCAATACAAAAAAAAAAGATAAAAAAAAAAACTATTTATGTTTTGTGATACTATTTTTAAGCAAAATTTTGATGGTATAATTTGTAAAGCAATTTAGTAAAATATTAATTTCGGAAAGTTCTTTTCACTAAACCGATGATTATTTTGTGAGAATTATTCAAAATATAATTTGGTAATACGACATCACCTATTTTAGTTATTTTCAACGATTATCCCAATACAAAATTCCTAGATTTTCTATAACCTAAAAGACGTATCTAATTTCCGGCCAAATGTCACATCTAAATTGGATGTGTTGAACTCAATCTTTGAGTTTTGTTTCTATATATCTCAAATGTTTACATCCATTTAATTTCAAGTATAATCGAACAATTTCATTAGCTTCTATACATATACCTTTAAAAAGACATAAGAACAAATCCAACATTGACCAATTTTGTTATGTATTGGACCCATACAATACTCCATAGATCACATGAACTCATAAATCTTCCGCAATATATTTATTGGACCCATACAAGAGTCGAAGCTAATAATAATCCAACCTACAAAAATCACCTAGAAACTTGTTACATATCGTCCCACGACTTATGACTATATCTTGTGGGTAACCACTAAAAAGCAGAGCATTTTACTATGCAATGTCATCATTGATAAAAAAAAAATTATATGAGAAAAGTAACCAAATATTAAAATGGAAGGTAGAAATACAAATGCATCATTACACATCATTGCGACAATTCAACCACTAAAATATGTCCTGTCTACAATATACTAGGGTATGAGGATTGTTTGATCAATACGTGTAAAATAAATCTTATAAAAAAGTAAATTTATATAAACGTTTATACTAAATTTATATATCGACATAAGAGTTACATAGCATATATAGTTACATTTTAATAGTTTTAAAATACTTGTTTTTATCAGTTTATGATTATTTTTCTATTAAGCGCGTCCTTTTCAAACAGCACCATTCATTCATATCTATTTCAAGACAAACACCACCCCATTCACATCTCATCTAGCTCCACACTGAAATCAGAAATGATAGAGGAAAGAAGAGGAGCTCCCTATGGAATACTACTCGCCGTCGTGGTGGTGGTGTTGATCGGAATCCCTATGTTCCTAGGCGACGGAGGTGAAGCCGTGACAGAGTTCATAGCCGAGCTTCTCAGCCCATTAGGTCTCTTACTCCTTCCCATCGTCCTCCTGTTACTCATTCAATATCTCTCCTCCGATTCTGGATCTTTCGTCTCCAACATCTTCTCCACCGGTGAACCTAACTCTATCCACCGTGCCAGTGGATCTCCGGTCGGCGTCGGACTTGTCCTCCTCCTCGTAATCTTCCTTCTTTACAACAAGTTCTCCATCTTCGGCGGCGATGAAGATTCCGACGAGTAGCTCTTGTTTGTTACTCCTCAGTTTACTTGGATCTCATCATTTTGTTGTTATTTAGTTTACACGTATATGTATAGAAGTATATTCACTATATTGTATTTGTCATTTTGCATCTGTTTGACAGGAATACCCATGATCTTTGGGGGTAATTTTCCGATATTTTGTAGATGACGTTGGGGGTAATATAGTCATTGTTGATTTTCATTTTTCACTTTTTGTTTTGAGTTTTGGAAAATAATGACGTTGGGGTATCACAAACCCACAAAGTAATTTTTGGTTTTCTTTTTATTTCGAATTGTTTTTTACTTGTTGGATTCTTGTATTGTGTTGGCTTTAAAAAGAATCATTGCACTTGAATATAATTAAGCATTTAGAATTGTTGTATTTTTTATAAAACCAGAGACTTGTAAAGAAATACATGGGAGCCAAGTACGTGTTTCCAGGATTTTGTAGCCTCCTTCCTTGAGGGCAAAACCGTAAATAGTGTTGTTGACATGACCATAGTAGCTTCCGGCGCGTGAGCACCACTCAATTCTTGGCACGTGACCAGATCTGTGGAGTGCTGAATGGATCCCACTTTTAAGATCGGTCTCGATGGAAAATAAAATAAGACAGCACAGCATGTTACTATTTCTTTTTTAAGCCTCGGCCGCGGAGGGGCTTATATAATTTTCATCTTAAGTAATTCACATATGTTTTTGCGTTTTAGTACCATCATTAAAATTTGTTGGCAATTCACCTGAACTAGTAATTTAAATAAATTGATATAAATCTAAATAACAGTAGACCTAATCATTATAATAACCAAAAAAGAAGGTGTTTTTTGTTTTCTTTTGATTTTTTTTTGAAAGAAAAGTCTCATCTAACGAGGATGTCCAAATCACAACTAATCCGTTGTGTGATCATGAGGCTATGCATCATGTCATGACACTTCAAACGAACCTTCATGGCCACAAGAGCGAAAGACAATAATTAGATTCAAGCTTGAGTATATGAGATATCATCCACATCGCCAAAGTGTTTCACTGATGGGCAATTATTCGAAGGTAATTGATTCGTACATAACAATTTTTTGACATACACAATAATAACATGTTTTTTTTTTGCATATTGTACAACTCATATAAATCATAAATTGTTGTGTATGATAAAAAAATTGTTGTGTACGAATCAAATCCCTATTCAAATCGTTAAAAAAAGAAAGTGTTGGACACTTAGAATACACAACACCAAAGAAAAAATAGCCAAATTGTTAGAGTTGTGAAGTTATTATATAAATGATCTCACTCACTGTTTATGAACACACTTATTGAAGACTCTTATTTAACTTGGCTCTTTATGAATTCTCATTTAACACCTTATCCAACCACTATATAAATATGTTAAAACATAACATGGTTGACACCAAAGCTAAAACAAGTCTTTCACTATCATAATTAACTCTTAAGCTTTGCTTTCCTTTTCACTCCGCAAATGTCTTCCGAATGATCTAAAATCGCCCATAAATTTGAGCGTACTTTAACTTCTAGTGATTAGCTCAGATGATGCCTAATATAATAAAAGGATGATGTATTGATCATAAAGGCTTATTTTTGAAAAAAAAAATGAGAAAGACTTGCCATCAAATCAGCACATAAAGAAAGTATTCTAGTATAAACCGAACAAAAAAAGAAATGGAAAACCAATACAATGAAAGAACTCCATGATGCTAAATAGTGGACAAGATAGACCAAATGTAAGGTTGGTCGTAAATAGTTAGCTTATGAAGTGATTATGGATGATATTTTGGTGCACAGACATGCGTTTATGGGTTAAAGCAAAATAAGCATACGAGTTTCCTGAATTAAAAAAAAAAAAAACAAAAAAAAAAAAAAAAAAAAAACAAACAAACAAACTAACATGTGGTGTCTTTCATCTCATATTCAAATCGACCATGGTGTACATTATTTTTAGGTTAAGCAATGTTACTTGACTAACATAATAGTTTTTTTAGAACGGCTTACACATGCACATATTATTCTACTCTTAAATCTATACATTTTGTCCACAACCGGACTTGAAACTTTCACCTTTGGCTCAGAGGCACTTATCTGTCAACTCTTGATACCGATGGGCCAATGACCCTTTAGTGATTAACATAGTAGTCAATATGGTAAATTAAATATATCATCATTTAAGTAACTATAGTGACATATGGGTACATCAACCTGGTGTTCGGTCTGCCAACATCTGTACTACCTACATGTACATCACCACATAGTGTTAAATGTGGTGTTGTGCCTTAATATCATCAACCAACTTCTTAATGATATCGTTTGTGGTGGTGTCTCAATAGACCAACTTCTTAGTGATATCGTTTGTGGCGGTGCATGTGGTGGTGGTCCCGATAGGGTTGATTGTAAAATTTGCATAAGTGAATCCTCATGATTATGTTGCTTCCGCTTTTATGGTGGCGAAATACGTGGTGACAGATGTGGAGGTGGTGTGAGTGAGATTATCTACATATATGTTGAAGGAGGTACATCAATCCTCTCGATCCATACCAAGTTGTACGACTAGTTAGTTTTTTGTTACTCTATAATGGAAAGTAACCTTTCTATAGACGTACTACCCGCCTGATTATAAAGTAAAATATTACTTAACCCCTAGGGGATTATCTAATCGACAACTTTGGAAGAAGCATGCCATGGATATTGATGCGGTTTGGAGATCTGATCTTAAACGGAAAGCTAGGTTGAAATGGGATGTTGATGTAGACGATAATACTAAGTTTTTTCAAGGAATTGTTAACAAAAAAAAAACGTATTTCTGGTTTAAATATTGATGGGAATTGGGTGAACCAACCGGAGTTGATCAAAAAGGAAGTTTGGGAGTTTTTTTTCCTTGAAATCTAATGAACCTATGTATTCTCGGCCTAAACTGATGAGCAGTAGATTTAAAAAGATCTCTGATGAAGACAAGACGGTTCTTACTAAACCTTTTCCTGAAATGGAAATCAAAGAAGCGGTTTGGTGTTGTGATAATGATAGGGCCCCGGGGCCAGATGGCTTCACCTTCATATTCTTAAAAAGGTATTGGAATTTAATCAAAAATAATATTTTCTTGTTTGTGAAAGACTTTGGTGATTCTGGTATGCTTGCTAAAGGATGTAACTCCTCCTTTATATCTTTAATCTCAAAAGTTAGAGATCCTCTCAACTTGAAGGATTATAGGCCGATGAATCTTGTGGGATGTCTCTATAAAGTGATTTCTAAAGTTCTGGCGAACCGACTTAAGGGTGTGATTGACAAAATTATCATTCCGGAGCAATCAACATATGTGGGGGTCGGAGTATTTTGGATGGTCCACTCTTGCTAAATGAAGTCTATACTTGGTCAAACAAAGCGAAGAAGAAAAGCTTGATTTTTAAAGTTGATTTTGACAAAGCTTTTGCCTCTTTGAGTTGGGAGTTTTTTGATTATGTTATGGATCAAATGGGGTTTGGATGAAAATGGAGAAGATAGATTATGGGTTGTTTTTCCTCGGGAAGGGCTTCCGTTTTGATCAATGGTTTTCCTACCATGGAGTTTGATATTAGAAGAGGTGCTAGGCAAGGCGATCATTTGTCCTCTTTTCTCTTTATAATCGCGATGGAGGGTCTTCATGTGTCTATGGAAGCAGGTTGTGATCTTCATTACTTTCGGGGTATTATACTTTTGAATGGGTGTACCTCTCTTTCTCATCTCATGTATTATACATTGGAAATAAATTTTATTAACCTCGGTAGGTTACTTTGTTACTTCTTCTTCTCGTCTGGCTTAAAGGTGAATTTATATAAAAGTAAGGTGTATGGTATTGGGGTTGATAATATTGAGGTGGAAAGACTTGCTAGCATTTTGAAATGTGAATCCGCCTCCTTTCCTTTTACTTATCTTGGCTTGGTGGAGCCAATATGAAGCTAGCAAAAAATTGGGGTCCTTTTGTTGATAAATTGATGGCTAGGCTTTCTAAATGGAAAGCAAAATCCTTGTCACTTGGCGGTCGACTTACACTTGTTAATTCAGTGCTCAATAGCCTTCTTTTATATTATTTTTCACTTTTAGAGCTCCAAAAAAGGTTTTAAGTATCCTTGAAGGGATTAGAAGGAGGTTTCTATGGGGAGGTGATGAAGATAGAAATAAGATAAATTGGGTTGCGTGGGATATTGTCACTAAGCCAAAGATTGAAGGTGGTTTAGGAGTTGGTTCTCTCGTCTCAGCTAATTTGGCTCTACTTCCTAAATGGTGGTGGCGCTTGAAAAACGGGTACGATTCCTTTTGGTTTTCATGTATTATAAGCATTCACAACATAAAACTTATAGATGGTAAACCTTTGGCAAAAAAATCCTTGAATCGTGTGTGGTTAAGTATATATCTCAACTACACATAGATCTCGGTGATACATGTGTTAATTTAAATGATCTTTTCAAAAGAGTAGTCCTTATTGGTGACAAAACTTTCTTTTGGAAGGATACATGGTGTGGGGATGTGGCTTTGAAAGATCTTTGTCCTAATTTATGTGTTAAAGACAAATAAAGATTGTAAGGTTGTTGATATAGTGAAAAGGGGGGCTAATATGGAGGCTTGGTGGAATTGGAGTTGGTCGAGAATACTAAGAAGCAAAGGGAGAGAAGCTGATCAATTGTCCATGTTATCTAATTGTTAAATTCTTTTCAATTCTCAACGAGATGTGATAAATGGCATTGGGCTGGTGGTGGAGGAAATTCCTTTTCTGTAAAGGCTGTTCGATTAGCTATTGATGCTTCGAGGGGTGGTATGGTTACGCCCTTCATAGGAGTGAACTGGATCCCGCTAAAAGTCATCTGTTTTGCGTGGAAGATGCTTAAAAATAGAATTTTCACCTTAATCAATCTTTCCAAGAGGGAGGTTGCCGTTTCTTCAACTCTTTGTCCCTTATGTCACTCAGTGGATGAAGATTTAGACGATGTTTTTTTCTCATGTCATGTTGCATCGCAAGTTTGGAGT